AACCCTGGGTCGTTCAAATCCTGTATAATCGAAAACGCTATTAGATTATGACTTATGCCGATAATATCACTCTAATTTTTAGTTCCATCGAAATGATGGCGCTTTCGCGTCGGAGTTCGTCAGGCACTCCAGCATCCTCTTAAAAGTAAAATCCACCAATACTATAGGAATGCATTAAAAGTCCTTAATAAATATCGTCATGAAATCTCGATTTAAAAAAAAAATCGCCTATCATTTATATTTTTTCTCAAAGAAAAAATTATTTCGATTCTTTTAATTGGGAAAAAGTGCGCTTAATATTTAATACATCATACATTAGATAGATATTGTTACGTAATTATTTACGTTAAATATTATTTTGAAACTGATTATATCGCAGATCACTATGTGCATATCTATATGTGTAACGATTGCCGATTACACAAAAAAAATCTTTAGGAACCTTGCTGCTAACAGCCTACATTACGCCATTAAAAATATTCGTTCGTATTCTTTTCGCACTTAATACTAGCGGCAATCCGATTCCGTTTCGTATATACATTTTATACATTGCATTTCGTGGAATGCGATCTGTATAAATACAAAATGTAAATTAGATGTACATGTCCGCCGCTAAACGTGCAACAAAAATGAGTCATATCTATGAGAGAATAGTTGAGCAACATATCGTGAAAAAGCCAAAAAATCGAAAAAGTTATAATATTATTTAAAAAGTTATAAAAAATATATGAACTAAAAATTCCTTCAATAAATTCTTTCAAAATAAAAATTGTTATTTTTATTCAATCTCATGTGAGAAAGGTTTGCATCGCAAAATGATTGGTGCAATGTGTAAAAATTTAAGCGGCGAGATGCTTCGCGCAACAACAATTTTTGATCGTATTCTTCATGCATATTATCGAGTATTATTGAGTATTATTGAGTATTATCTACATTAAACCGAATGTAGGTGTGCATGCGTGAGTTGCTACGTATGTGAGGCCACCGTACGTATGTGAAACAGTGGTTGATTTTGTCTCAGCTAGTTAGCGTTTAACTGATCATACAAATCACATTAGGGCGGTACCAATCGTACCATTTGATTCACCGGGGTCAAGCGTAAGACCTTCGTCATCTTCGGCTTCAATAGTTATCATTTGCATTTACTCTTACCGTCAAGCAGTTTCTTCCACAGATCGAACTGCTCACTGTATTTCACCATGTGTATACTGATGCCGCGTTGGATGTTGCAGGGTGTGTACTGTATCCGTTTATTCAGAAACTCGTTGGCGTGCGAGCGTTTGATGCCAAGTTTGTGCGCGACGATGCCTGTGGTAAACACGTCTTCGAGCTTCAGGTACGTTTGATTCAGAGCAGCGTCGTACAGACGGCTCACCGTGTCGCTCGACAGTAAGTACGCCGGCCCGGTTGTGAAGTCCGGAAAGACCGGCTGTTGGAACTGCACTTGCGATACATAGTATTTGCTTTTCCGATTCCGTATCGGTTTCCACTTCCTGGCTAATCGGCCAAATATCACGTTACGGTCCCTCGCATGTTTGTTCACAAAGGCCAGCAGTCGTGGCACATTGATAAACATATCGTCATCCGTCTTCAGCAGGTACTTAACTCTGGAGCAGTAAGTGTCTACCCATTCCAACGTCGAGATGGTTTTGAGCGTGAGATTCGAGTACGAGTCGAGGAAGCGGCCACGTATTACATCGTTGTACATGTGTTGTTCCTTGCGCAGAATTGATTCCACTTTGGTGTCGAGAGTGGTGCCGAGCATGAAGAGCACGCTCATATCACTGCGCTGACCGAAATGCCCCCAGGTTTGCCGGATCGCTGTTCGTGCATCGAAATGCGTTGGCGCGGACATGACGATCACCACCAGATTCATGTCTTTACCGAAGTTCGGGCAACGTTCAGGAATCGACACCATGTGCCCAGCCTCGTATATGGCGCGCGCCGAATCGTTTCGGATTGCAATCGGTTTCGGTTTAGTCATGTTGGCAATTTTTGCCGTTTGCAACTTTTCGTTCGCGGTTTGTTTCGAATTGTCTACTATGTTAGCGGAAGACAATAAAGATGAGGATTGCGCGCTAGAAAATGTCGACAGCGTCGTGATAAAGGTCGAGAAGTTATTGCTTACATTGTGCGCTGGGTACGGGCTATTCAGAAGTGTGTTGTCTGAACTGGAATTTTTCGACACCGCTGTTGTCATTCGCGTCTCCACGCTGAGATTTGTATGCACATGGAGACCATCCTGATACACAGAGTAACCTGAAATTTTTATTTATTTAATCAATTTTGTATCGTTAACAATTAAAATATTAAAAATGTTCAAACAGTGACAAAGTATACATATATATTTTGTATCATTATATGTATAAAAGCAAATACAGACAAAACTATAAACTTCTACAATTATTTGGAGTGTCTTAAATAAATGTTACAACAACACTCTTGTTTTATTTCTTGATAATAGTAAAAAAAAAATCGAAAACATTTTTAATTTGCATTCAATCACCATACCAGAATCTTTCATTAATTTCCATGATCACTGAATTTAATAATTATTTAAGATCAATTATGTTAATGCAATAAGAGCTTATGTAAGAGAATCATTTCTAGTATTAAAGATATACTTACTGGCATTTCTTGGTAAGCTATACTGATGAACATCATACATAGTGGTACGGTAGTATGCATAGAAAGTAAGGCCGATCAACGCGAAGATCAGGGTCTGCAGAAATCGACTCCTGAGATGCAAATAATGGAACATGACGGATGTTTGCTCTAGTCACTCTCACTCTCGCGCTCTTCTTTTCTCAACGCGCTCAATCAGCGGAGACTGTATTATTATGTGTATTCATCGTATACACTCTATACAATTATTGTGCGGTGGGCGACCTGACGGCCGTCATCGCTCCGTCGAGGACTCCACCATGGATCGAAGCACTGTAGCATACCGTCGTTTAACAGATTATTTCCATACTGTATGCAAGACCGCACTCGTCGCCACTCGTCTGTCCGTCATTCACTCGTTCCTCTGCTCCGGAGAATCGCAGGTGAGTATGATACGGGTGTGCTGCCAGGATCACTCTGTTCCGCTTTCTACAACCGAAAAGCGTACTCGCCACTTTCACGCGTCACATCATACGTCGTCGAGGCAACTACTACGTTCGCTTATACACGTCCTCGCACACTGTTAGCAACCTGAGAAGGGAATCTACCGCACGCTTCTCCTGCTGCAGCCTCAACATGACCAATGCATTTTGATGTCGCTAACGCACCCACTGCATACCCACCAAGGCCCACACATTCACGTCTGTTTCTTTTTATCGACGGCGCACATCTTTTAGTTACATCCACCATTGTCAGATGACACTATGCGCACTGCTACCAGAAAAAATGGATACGTTCAGTAGAAGTAAGATCTGCGTTGCATAGTGGCTGAGAATTATTTGGTGGACAGGACATGGACAGGATTACTGCATAAAACGCGCGAAAGTAACGGTACGCCATTTTCTGAAGCTCATTTACATTCGGTATAGTTATTAGAAAAATTATTTTTAATTTTAAAAATGTTTAAATTGTTTTTTTTTTTAATTGTTTTATATAGAAAAAGTTTGTAAATATGGTTACATAATAAAGTTGTTTATGTTAGGATCTTTAAAGCATAAAACAAGTTTATTAACGTTTAACAATATTTTTAAATAGGTTAAAATGCAAAATATTAAATCTTACATGGCATAAAACATCCTGGGGATATCTTAAGGATATCCCGATGTCCTGAGAATTGTCTCAGGACATCCTGAGGATATCCGGGATGTTTTCAGGATGTTTTGTGCTATCTGGGATATCTCGAAACAAGAAAAAAGTGAACTTATGTCACTTAAAAAGAACTGTTCATATATATAAAGGAACAACTGATCGATAATTTAATAGTGCCTTTATTATTAAAATAGATAAAAATAAAAGAAGTAAAAAATATATTTTTTGAAAAATAATCAGGTACAACTTTGTTTTGTTTAAAAATTATGCTGGCTTGATAAATAACAATTTAAATTGACGATAAAAAGATTAATAACCGTGATGTAAAATAATCGAGACGAATAAAGCTTAATTATCCGAAGAAGTTTGATAGCATTTTAGAATCGTGATTTAACAACAGAATGCGAAAGTTTATCAAACTTGAATAAAACAATGCTAAAACTATTTTCGGAATTACATGGAAAATTATTTTCTATGTGAATTAGTTAGATAATATCATGTGTGATGTTAGGTATATACTGTAGTGCAGAATGTAAGGTATATTAAGTTCTACATAGTTGGCCTTATTTAATTAAATATCTATTATGTCATTTAATAACTTTTATACTGAATTGAGCAACTTTTGCTTGCAGATACCAAGAACCTATTCTATTAGATATTACGAAAAATCGTAATATATCGCAAATAAAACATATTATAAAGATACTTGTTGGAAAAATTACGGTAGATCTTTTAGAAACTTGTTGTGCCATAATATAAGAGTAAACATGCCCTTTGCTTACTCCCGCAAGACAAAGCAGTGACTTTTCTAGGAGATGATTTTCCCTACAACCTTGAATTATTAATAAAACGCTAATATATAGATTATACAGATACATGGTAACCGATGTGTAGATACTTTGTAAAATTGCCACGTAAATTACTTCAAGCCGTACCGTGCACGCTGCACGAGCAAAATAGCAATGCATGCACTAAACTCGTTTAGTTTCGGACGTAGAAATATGTTTGTAGTTTCAAGTTTTTAAATATAATTTATTGCAATTTACAAATATCAAAAATGTAATAAAAAAATATCTTTTTATCTAATTATTACTAAGCCAAAGGAATTGATCGATAGATGTAGATAAAAGTAGGAAAAATTTTGCGCTAAGGTGCAGCATAAAAGCGCAAGTTTCCGGCATGTTCCGCTGACGAAAGGAGAAATGAAGATTTTTAATAATCTTATGTCATATTACTTTATTTCATTACACGCTTGTCATTTGTTGGGAGTATTTATCGATCGATCGGAAATAGGAAAGGACACTACAATATTTTCTTGTTGCAATTAATATAGCTTAAAACAGCACTGATCTTGTATTTAATGGTTGTTTATAAGTACTATTGCTACTGTATTTCTTGATCGTTTAATTTACAGTTTGTTCAGTGTAAAATGGCGGTGAATTCGTAAATTCGTTAAAATCACACATCATCGATCGTCCTGTCTATTAATAAAATCAAATTTCCATCCTGTAGATACGATCGACCTGCGGCCATTAATGTCAATATTAGATGGATACTACTGCATTGAGTGCTGTAATCAAAAACTGCTGACATCTGAAATTGTTGCTGCTGGCGAGGAACAAACGGTCAAGCTGATTGTCCTTGTTGTTTGATTTTTTGAGGTAATTTTAACTATAAGTACCACGTGAAAAGTTTCACAAACAACGCACAAGAATTTAATATTTTTAATGCTCGACAACATTCGCATAGTATGATTATAAGCAGCTAGTAACTACTTATTGTGCAAGATAGAAGTTAATTCATCGTTGGTTTGGCGGCATCGCTAAATATTTCGTCATTTTCTTATCTTTTGCAAATAACGGCTTACGTTATATTAATTTTGGAAGAAAAACGCGGTTATGTGATATTGGAAGGCAATGTTTGTTTTCCTCGTTGACGATTGAAATTAGATAAGGGTTGCTGTAAGGTCACTTTGCTGGGACAACCCCAATTTATCTCATTCCTAAATGATACCGGATACTTCATGCTAGAAATAACGAAGAATAAACTATCATCTATTATTATCAAGGACACAAGACAAAAATTAAAGCAGTAATTAATAGTAATTCTTGCATTATTGTGAAATAGTTAAATTTATTATTATGCAAATTTACGTAGGACTAAAAATTGCTAAAACTTTTTTATTAGTTTTGTGGCTGTAGTGGCCCTCGGCTTTTTCATACAAGATCAATATGTGCCGGATTTCCCGTAACGTCAATGCACTCGTACATGAATAAGGACAAAGCGATCGATGTGTGTAACGTATATTTCTTTGATATCGCGTCACGCGAAATGGTAAGAATAAACGCGATTTAAATGTTTAATTCTGATATGTTTTTCAATTGGAAATAATACATTAATTATATATGAAAATAATATACAAAATTATCATTTATAAGAAGAAGAATTTGAAGAAGTGATTAGATTTGCTGTCGGTTAGGTGAGTAGTTAATATAATGTCAATACAATATGAGTTAGAGTATGTTTACGCAATTTTTCAATTCATGATTGATCCACTTAAACCAAAAAATCGCTGTTACGAGAAGTCCAGTCTCATCGCTTCAACTTTCGCATAAAATCTTATTTGCGTTCATTTTCCGGTGCGTCGGACTTTCGGCGGATAACGAACGAGCGGAAATTTGCTGACAAACATTTTCTATAGCGTTAATTATCGATTTCTTTTGCTGATTCTATCGCTTTTTTTTTATTTCCGCAATCTCTGCGTTGTTCTATTATTTTCTTATATTTAAACGCGTGCGCGCACAAAAAAACAACTAGAAGTTGCTATTGTGAACTTGTGTGTATGAGATAATCAGCTGCTACGACGACAGCGGCGGCGTTGGCGGCTGCGGCGATGGCATCGCGCGCAGTCGATCGATGGCCCAGTGCCACTTCGCGTGCGCACCTTCTCCTTATTCCCTTCCCTCAACCCTTCCCACTTCCACCCCTAATGATTTGCCCTCGCTCTGCGTCTTGAAGCGCTATTCCTTCACTTCACCGAGCGAGCCTATCCTCTTCTTTCCTTATTTCATATCCTACTTTTTTATTTTTCCTCCTTATTCCATTTTGCATTTTATGCATCTTTTTCATCCTTCACCCTTCATGTCTCCAACTTCTCTTCGATATTGCTTGCTCTTTACTATCTTCCCTATTAACTTTTTTCGATAAAAAGTTTTAAATTGCATCTTTAGTCGATGTAACCAACTACTATTTGTTTTGATTCAAATTTTTATTTTGTTTCTGGAACGCCCTCTTTTATTCTTCTTTAATATTTTATTTTTATTGTATTAATGTTAATTATGAGATTAATTTTCTTTATAGTTTTCTCTCTCTCTCTCTCTCTCTCTCTTCGGCTCTCTGGTTCTGTTTTCTTGTTTTATTTTGCATATGTTCTTTATGTCTTATTCGGGAGTTTCTTATTATGACGAGATTCTTTGACTTGAAGTATTCAAGTATCACTTCTCTTTGATTTTTCACTTCTAGAAAAGCATCTCTTTTCCTCATTTTATCTCGTGTTTTTTTATATTTTGAATCTCAAGTGCTTTTTTAAATATTTAATGAGATTTACGGTTCCCAGAACCGTTCGCAGCTTATATTTAACTATTTTCTATTACAAAAGGTAATGGACCTTTTCCTTCATCTTTCTTTCTTTATGACAGTATACTGTTATTGATTCTTTCGACATTCCTGTTTTTGTTTATTCAATTCCTCTTTTTTCATTCTTCTTTATGCATTTTCTATGTTCCCTTCTATTTGTGCTTTCTACAATTTTTCTTCTGAAATGAAATAAATATTCGTCACATATAATATTCGTCGATCTATTTGTAACCGCAGTAATGGTTTTTGTAGCTCTTGTAAAATTATTAACATAAAATCTTTTTTCTCCAAGAATTGGTTGATTGCTGTAGATATTTCTCTCTATTTCATTCTTGGTTAGGCCGATTGATTATTGCTGCGGCTTTTACTTCGACAGTTTTCCAATTTCTTCATCCTTGTATCCCCGTTTCCTCGATTTCTCTTGCTAATTTACTATATCTTTTTTTCTTTTATTTTTTAATTTTCTCTATCTTTTTTCTTTTTCTTTTTTCTCCTTGCTTTTTATCCATCTTCTTTCCTCTCTCGTTAATTTACATGTTTGTGTTTTTTTTAACTTCTATACCCTTCTCTCTTTCTCTCTATTTTTTTTCATCATGACTTTACCGACATCATTCTCTTTTTTCATCCTTTCTTCTTCTATTTCCCTCTTTTCACAGCGGAACAGCAGTCGACAGAATGGTCGCAGTTCGAATATGCTAGCTTGCAGATCACGAAGGGATCTGTTCGTCCGTCGTTTCCACCCTCGCAGACGATTCCTCTTCTCGTTCTTTTGAGTGCTTTCCGGCCTCTCTCTCTTTCTCTCTTCCTTCCTTTTCCTCTCTCTTCCTCTCCTCTTCTCCTCCTCTCCTTCTCTCTCTTTCTCACCCTCGCTCACTCGCTATCTTTTTCTCGTTTCCCACTCCCTGTCACTCCTCCCTTCTCTTTCCTTGCACTCTCCTCTCCACCGGCTTCTCGCGTCAGTTCATCCCGAGCAACCAACGTTCGTTTCGCTGTCGAGCGCCGTTCGAACTACCCTTCAAGTGAATACGGTGCGTAACTGATCAGACGGATCGTACCGCCGCAGCGGCAACGCTTTCTTTCCTTCTTCAGACACACTCGCAGCAGAATGGATTTTCGACAAATCAAGGAGTCGTGATTACGCACCGGTTGATAAAAGGTCAGTTCGTATAGAAAAATACTCGCTTTTACGGCAAGACGTGCACTTTCTCTCTCTCTGGAGTGAACTTATGCTCGCTCGATGGAAGGCCACCGGGAAAAAGCTGCCGCACCAAGTCCAGTGACAGCAATGGGCAAAGCATAACGACACACCCAGCCAACACGAAACGTACATCCTCGAGTATGCGTGGGGCAACGGCGAGTCTCGCCTCGAAGCCGCGTTCGACGCTGCTAGATCAATAACACGCCGCGAGGAAAACTCGTTCGCGCGGAAGCTTCTCGGTCGGCCATGAGTTCGCACCGCTGTGCGTCAGCTTCGCGATTCTCATTTTTGTCTCTCCAGCGGTTCACGTCTCTTCTTCTCTCTGCGAACGCGATAATCAAGATATGTCGGTGTTGCATGGAGATGCGTCGGATCGTCGTCGGATTGTGACAAGCTTTTGATAATGAATCCACGCTAATTAACTGTGGCTCGGAGAATCGATGATTTAATAATTAATAGTTGTGGCGATCTATTCATTAATTTACATTAATTTATAGTCTTTATTGATTAATCTACTAACTATTCGCAAATTGGAGATAGTTCTTGGATGATCGGCTAAAATTGATAATCAAATTAATTCATATCAATCGGTATTTTAGTCCTAGACTTATTACACTAGCTGGGGTCTACTAATTAGTTTTGCTAGTCATGAAGCTTCAGTGAGCCAGTTTCGAATGGCGATTTGGTCGAGAAAGTCAGATACCGCATCGGCGAGCGAGGAAGGACGGACGTCGCAGTGGTGTGTCATAGTAAATCGAGGCGGTTATCGATTTTTTTACGTGTCGCCTTGAATGTCGAGGATGAACGGAAACGTTACAGTAGAGATATAGGTATCCGATAAACACGAAAACCAATCGAATGACGGAATTACATTCGGAATTACGGAAATGCGTGCATAAGAAAGATTCCATGGCACGTAAGTTTTTTTTTTGCGTGCTGATGAAAACGATAACGTGCTAATACATCAATTACTGCAATACATTGCAACTGCCAAGAAGATTATTGTTCAAACATACGAAATTTAGAAATAATAGTTATTACAATTAAAGTTCAATGAATTAATACTGAGACAATATAAAACTTTTTAATAATCTTTGATAACGGCGATAATTTCTAGTCAGGATGGCAATTTTCCTTCTAACCAAATTAAATGTGAATATAAAGTATTCAGAATTTCCGATTTTATTTTTAACGTAAGATCTCTTGATTGATTTTAATTAAAAATTTTTAATTATTAAAAGTACGTTTAAAGCACTAATTATTTTCAATTAATTAAAAGTGGAAACTGTTCCAGAAACTGAAGAATTTTTAAGTTGACTTTGTTTTTTAGAATTTTAATTTTTCGAAATGCTAGTTATTTTATAGAATCGCAATGAATAAAATTATATTTGGCCAACTTGATTTTAGATTTGTTAAACGGTCTGTAATTAAAGCTTAATACATAAACTCAAATATATCATATTTGCTGTATATAAATTTGGTAGCTATTTTGAAATTATACGAATACGTATGAATCATGTTATCGATCATTTTTCGCTAGTATTAACCTTATCAAATATTATATATATAATATGTCTGAAAAATATGATTAATTTTTTTAGTTGTTCAGACATGCTGTGTAGTGCAGCTTTACATCTCGAGCAGATAATCAAATAAAAATTTTATAAATTGTTAGCAATAAATCGTTTCTTCTATTTCTTGATATTTTTTTATTTGCTATTGGAAAATCTCATCGATCAAATTGTGAATAATGTGTTTTCCTTTGCACAACATTATATACATCTATATTGTAAAAACTAAACGTGTACGGCTATTTTGTTGTAAAATCAATTTGTGTTCTTCCAAGTAAAATGAGATTTTTCTGCGCCATACTTCGTGAATGGTGCATCAGCGATGGCATCACCATTCACGCTGCTCACAAAACGACTTATCGATCATACCAGATGTATAGCACCTTCGTGTCTCGACGGACAGAAAACGTCAAAATCGTCTTTTCTTTGACATTTACTGTGGTACAAATTCACAGAGCATAATTCAATTGAAATTAAATTTATATGTCGACTAATATTTATTTATAATTCTTTTCGTATTGCAGAATATTTTGGTATTCTGAAAGAGTGGCAAAGTAAATTTTAAAAATATGTTACTCTTACAATTGATAAAAATTGTTTAAAAATCAGTCGAAGCAAGGAATTTGTAGGAACATCAACATTGAGACTTTGAATAAGATGATTGAAATAAATTGCTTACATTATCGATCGTTTACTTCAGTAATGCCTCAGCAATTATTATTTCATAATTTTTACTATCTTAAGATTAGTGTTTGAAAATTTTAATCTAACAACTTACACAATTCTTGAAATTGAACATCAAATAGTTTGAATTTTTCAAGCTAAAAATATATTCAAACAGTTTTAATTTTTTAATATTAGATAACGAAACGTATACGTAACAGTAAAGAAGATTAATAAGCAATTAACAACCGGCTTTGGCTCTAAATCCTCGACTGTTAATATAAAAAAATTAAATTTTTTAATTTCACGCTCAAAAATCTGGAAATCTATATAAATTTAGACAAAAATAAAAAGCTTATTTATTTTTTTGTAATGCAAATGCTATTTTTGCTCTAATATTCTTTAATGTCTAAATTGTTTAAATCTTGATATCACAGATCGACCTATCGAATTACTTTCGAATTATCCAAAGTCAAACTGTTCAAACTGTTCTAACATACAATACACTCAAACTTTTTGTCTGAGCTTCTTTAGTTGAGACATTCTGCAAGCATGATAGAGAAAAAATAATTTTCTATGCGAGAAAATACAAATTATCGCTCGACACTTCTGCATTCTGGAATGCGTTGAAATATTTAACATAATCTAACATGACGCAATAAATTGTGCAAGAGAGCTAAGCAAAAATCAATATGTTTATTCTTTTGCATGGTTCAATAAGTAGTATTATACCGGTTAATCTTGATAAAAAGCGCGTTCTCATAAAAGATAAAAATAATATCGCGGTGGGTTTTACAGCCGGATTTAACTTTAACCTTCTTACCCTATCCTAACTTCAATCAACAAAGAATCCGATTATATAAAAGGGACAGGAAAAGGTGCGATGCCATTCTGGAAGTAATCGTTCCATCTTATATTTTTGCGTGCTTAAAATAATTTTCTGTCTTTTCTTTCTAGTTTCACTTTCGCGTTTCCGTTCTAAATATTAATATATGAAAAAAAGTTATATTTACTTTTTATAAAAAATATATGAAAAATCGCGTTGCAAAGAGATAAAAAGACTAAGAGATTAAAAGACTCAACGTTTGTGAAAATTGTCATGGAAATGGGATTAATGAAAGTAACATGCATTGAGATAATAAATGGATCAATAAAAACTATATTTAATACGCGTAGATAAAGGAGCGCGTTAATATCGAACCGAAAGCATTAGCATATGCTTAGAAATTTTATTAACATGACATTTTTAAATACCGAGCAAGAGTTGACTTTAAATAATAACAAAATATTTGAGATAAATGCGACATTTTTTTAAAGTTAGTGTAAATCAAATACTTGATGAAATATCTTTAATCAATATCTCTAATTATCTGTTCAAGATAACACAAGAGAAATTTTGCAATATAAAATCCTAAATTGTAATTCGAGCAATGCAAATCCGCTTCTAAATTCATTTAGAAAATATGTTACTCCAATATTACTCCACTATAATTACCAAAACCAAATATTGAAACAGACACATATATACACAGCTTTAATTAGCGATTGAATGTAAGTTTAGAGGAATATTTATGTTGCGACTACGGTGCAACTATGCTCCAAATCTCTTCTTTTTTCTTCTTTCATGGTTCTATTTTGAAACTTTTCCCCGTGAGACACGTTTATGTAATCCAATAAGTTAATCGTTTATATTGATATCTATACCCTCATTTGACCGCGTTGCGCTTACATGCGGGATTAGTATCTTAACTTGATAAACTCCGCTCATCGTATTACACAATTTGCTTTCGATCGTTGCCATGTTTAACCCAATCTGATCATATGTTCTTTATTCTTATTTTATCGTTATCAAACATTATATATAAGTGCTTATCTATGTTCAAACTAAAGATATCGTTTGCTAAATTATAATACGGGATGGCATAAACGTCACAAAGGAGTTTAAAACACTTATGTTCTTTTCCTTTTATAGATTTATAGAGAAACCCTCGCAAATTAATCATTAAAAAATACACAATTAAGTAACAAACTAAAACCATAGAATTTTATTAATAATTTCGTTAATTTTATTTTTATTGAAATTCAGTGTTTGATCAGCCATCACCGGATTCCGATTATTTCTTTCGGAGTTATTTGAAGCAAAAAAGTCTATGTCAACAACTCAAAGGCTATTCAGAAGCTAAAGAATAATATCCGAGCAGAAATAAGAGGACTAAAAACAGATATTCTGCGAAATGTTATGGAAAACGCTCTTGAAAGAGCCAGAATATACGAAGTTGGAAATAAATAGTTATTTGAAAGAAACAATTCTTTCTATACATAGTTTAATTAAATTTCCATTGTTATTTTCCATTTATTTCCGAAACAATAAATAAAACAAATAAAATCTAAAAAAAAAATATGAGCGTTTTAAGCTTCTTTATGACTTTTGCGCCACTTTGTATTACAACAAACATCATCATATTTTTCGTATATGAAATATGCAGGATATAACAGAATAGATGAAAAATAAATATTTACATAGCACTATGTTTTCCCTGCCACTATAAGAGACAACTTTTATCAGCAAAAACGAAATTGTTAACGTTCGATTATTATATTTTCTTTGCAATAAAGACTTCTAACACTAATCCTGGATTACTATGGATAACTTTGGAGAAACATGAACGTAATAATCAGAATAGACGTGATTGATAATAAATTGCATATAACATTATGACTGTAAAGTTTATGTAATTGATCAAATAGGGACCGTTTATTTATTTTTAACGTGAATAATTAGCAATTACTTTTCGTAACAGCAATTGTTTATTAAACAAGAATTTAATGTGAATGTTTCACATTTCTTAGTGTAATGCTGCTTTTGCTTTCAAATTATTTGGATGACTATACCATTATTTTACTTTATTCCAAATCCCCTTACGTTAGACGTTACTTCGTATCACTAAATATTCATTGTGTGTGCAACCGTGTTGAGCGCGTATCTGATAACCACTACACGTTGTTCCACATTGACTGGGGCTCCGCTTTTACGTCTCGGACCCGCGGTATTTCACTTTCTCGGCCCAGGAATCGCGCACGCTTCGGTATCAACGTTTACAACGGCGGAAACATTTGCATTTCTGGGTTAGGCATTAACATGTTCGTATACACATGCCTTTGTATGCGAGCTAAACGCGTAGATTGTTACCGTAAATAACGATTATAGGACAGAAAGTCGATTGCGTATTAACTTACGCTATTTTATTTGAAAAAATTAAATAAGAAGTTACGCGATTCGTGTCATTGTATTAATTAAATTATATTATGTTACATGCGTTATTAATTATATTATATGTACTGTAAAAATAATTTATTTTATCTTTATTATATTTTTCCAGCTACATTATGATGATTAATACTGACATTTTGAATATTTAAAATTTATTCTCTCTGCGGATAAGACTTTTTATTACTGTCCGTTGTAAGAATGACAAAGTAAAAATTTGAAGTTCCAAAAGTGGACAACATATTTTTAATTAATATTTTAAAAAATATAATACAAATAATAACATTTTTTAATAGTTATAGATATTTATTTCATAAAACATATATTAAAAAATTGCGTGAATGATCACGTAGGGAAGTTTCGCTAAATGAAAATTGATTTCCAACAAAAAATCGGAGCAAAAAAATTAATCAGATATAATCCTTGATAACATTTCGCGTAAGACGAATAAAAAGATTAAAAGTTTTTTCATTTAATTTTTATCATGCTTTAGAAAAAAATTTTTTCCAATATTTTATAATTTTCACTGATTTTCCAGAACAGTAGAATAACTCTATTCATTCGTCCAACGTTAATGCGATGTCGTGTATACACGTGTCCGTGATGTGTGCACGTCGTGCGAGTGAATCAGATATCTAGTTCAAGAGAAAAAGAGAGGAAAAAGGCAAAAGGACGGCTGTAGATAATCGATATGTTTGCACTGTGACGGCCACGCACGTCTTTCTTCCGTTCCAGTTTGCTTCCTGCTCTCGCGCCGGAGCGCATAGTATTGCACGCGGAAATCGATTGTCGCGTCTGGAAAAATTCCAAACGAGATCTACGCACACACGAGCTCGTCTCTCTCCTTTTTCAAGGAACTGGATCGTAGTGTGCTTTCATGTTCGGTCGTGAACTCCCTTTCGATCTTTTTATATGTGGAGAGCTTCTTTCATTTCAATTTCATCAGCCGGAAATTCCTTATCGAATTCTTATCGACTTCTCTGCGGTTAAATTATATATAATTGTCGCTAGTTAATCAAGTTTTTTTTTTTTCAAGCGCAATAAAGCTTTATATGCTGTTAAATATGTAGCACTGCGTTGCATGATATATTATATTACGTATGCACCGGATAAAACCCATAAAAATCAGTAAGAACGGCTTAAAAGAAATGTTTTTTTTGTTGTTGTGTGAATTGGTCTGTTTGTACAAAAACACTTGCACAAAAAATCTATAAAAACTGAAAAGTGATTTAGGGAAAACGACGATGTTGTAATATTATATAAATATTTGACACAAATGTGATGTAATAGAAAATGATCAACAGCGCAATGAAATAGGTCTAAAGTAAAGTAATATTGGGCAAATCATTTTATCAATGCTGCACGTGTGCATTTAGTAACCTTATTTTCTGTAAAAGTAATATAAATTGACATTAAATATTAAAGTTACTCATAAAAAATTAATACATTTTTATGTCTTATTCTTTTTAATTTCTAGATAAGAATAAATCATATAATTATAAGTTTTTTACAAAATCTTTTTAAAAAATTTATTTCTTTATAAAATTATTCTCAAGATTTAATTAAAATGCAGTGAATATTAGAAAAATATATTATTTTAAAATGAATAGCAAATTAAAGCAATTCATCAACCAACTTGTCAAATTAATATTCGTTACATGCAAGCAATAAGTATTAAAAAAAATTTTTCAAAATTTGGGATTGTAATAAACTATCTATTTTTGTTGCAACACGTATCTGCATGTAGCTTGTTTAATCATCCTAGAACGTTATGCTATTGAGAGAAGATATTTGCACTTATCTTGAAATATCTCGTAAATTCGAAATTTAATATGTCAAATGTGATAATTACACCAACGCATTGCGTAATAACATTTAAACATTTATTGAATTAAGATTTATTTGTTAGTAAATTCAATATTTACATCAATTTGATTTTACAGTTCTATTGCGTTTAATTTTTATTTATTTGTACTCGATCTGATAAAATTTTATTTGAATAAAAAAATCTTTATTTGGAAAATGTAACTTAAGTTATAAAATATGGAACGAAATTGTAAGATTAACAGAATGACGTTATTTTAAAATAAACTATTTTGTTCAGGAATGTCTCAGAACTAGTGAAATAAATATTTAAAACGGAAAAAATCCGGGAAAGATTCTCTATATAAAATTTATCTTTCTCTTCAAGAAGAACTTTCTTTATACTTATCCAGCGTTATAAATTTTCTTGTAAAAAATTGATTAAAATCTACTCGAACCAATTTGATAGTATTTTAAGAAAAGCAACGAATTTTTTAAAACATCAATTATAATTAATATTTCGCCGACGGGAGCTAATACGCTGATCTTTTTTAATTTTACGCGTCTCGCCAACGAAGTGTTTAGGTTGATATGTTCGCCAAAGTCGCACGCGCAAATTACTGTAAGCCGATAAATTCAGTCACCTCTCCATCGTATTACGAAGATTAAATTTCTGTTTCTGCCAGGATGCATAGCTGATTTTTTTGCTGCCGCTTTAATCATGGAATAGCCATGAATGCGTTTCAACGATAGGGCATGTCTTAATCAAAGATTTATTCTCGGATTTTTGCTTCGAAACCTTAATAGAAAAACGGAATTAAGGTTCTTCATTCGTCTGATGCTCTGAGAATTCTTTCAGAACTTTCATAATGAGCGCAAGGCACGAAAAACTCGCGCAATCCCAATGTCGAATTGCGAATTGCTATTTCGCACGTGATGATGCAACGAGATTAGAATAAATGACTTTGCTGACTTTAGCATATGACGGCTTCCAATTACGCGAGCTGTTGTTCGCATTTTCAAAATAAGCTCTTGCATGAAAGATTGAATGCAAATTGCGCGCAGAAATAAGTACTGCTACTAACATGCAACTTCTGTCTGACATAACAATTGCGACAATTGGTTTAGTCGGTTAATTAATTTAAACTTCCTAACGTAATCAAGAAAATTGAACTCGCCGCGCAATTAATAAAATAAGCCGACATTATACTCGAGAAAGAAATTACAACAGTTTTATTTTTATAAGAATATCACTCGCATGACTTTTTTCTCAGCGGTTACTTTAATTAATATTGTTTATAATATTGAAATATAAAATATAATCAAAATATTATTTCAGCTTAGAAAAACGCGTGACCAGCTATCACAAGTAACAGAGAACAACGACTCCGTGATCACGTGAAGCGGCTGGACCTCCTGTGACGGGGGAGGTCGAAGACCGCGAGTGCGCTTTCTTAGAGCATCCATTCTTAGACGATGATAGATCCAAGTTCATCCGAAGAGGAGAGTGAGGAGGATCAGAGCACTCATCATGGCGGCGGCGGCGGCGGCGGCGGCGGCGGCGGCGGCGGCGGTGGTGGTCGTGCCGGAAGCGGTAGCTCCCACGGTTCTCGCCGTCATCCCGGAAGTAGCATCGGAAGTGGTCCGGGTTCTGGTAGCGTCGGTTCACTCGCTTCAGGCCTTACTGCCTCGCCCGGCGGCCCAAATCACGTGGGCCCGCCCGCTGCGAGTGCTCACGGATCGGGAAGTCGTGTCCCGGTGGGATCGCAGGATGCAGCTGGAGCTGGCCTGGACGTGCCCAATCTCGCTAGCGCCAGGAACTCCCTGTCGCCATCGATGAGCGCGACTCAGGACGCTGCTAACTACGCCCAGAGACCCACCAGTCCATCTCCCTCAGTAGCGAGCGAGAAGACCGAAGCGGAGTTGCAAGTACAGGAACGCACGCTTTTCTTTTTAATTTACGTCTTAACGAAAAGAAGCATTGATGCAATTATATATATATAATACATACACAGTGTATGTAGTGATCAAATATTGCTTTTCTCCAAGAAATAATATTTTTATGCTAGAAATAGTAGAACTCTACAGTTAAACTGTAATTATTGCAAATGATAAAATTGTAAGAAACGTTTTGCTTGGCCCAATTTCTTTTACAAAGAGAAATTGGATAACAATTTTTTTAACAATACGCGCTCTATTACTTTATCGTCGATACGAGATTTTTTTTTTTCTTCCTCAGGATAAGCAAGAAAGAGAAGAAGAAGAGAGGAAAACTCGGATCCAACTGTACGTCTTCATATCTAGATGCATCGCTTATTCGTTTAATGCCAAACAGCCGATGGATATGACGAGAAGGCAGATGAAAGTGACGAAGCAACAATTGGAAACTATTTCTTCTCGTTTTCAGGTAAACGGATAAATACATTTTTTTGTCGAAAAGAAACTAAACTTTATAGAAAACAATTTTTTAAAGTGGTCTCAAAAACGACCGTTCAAAGTCTAATACTCCTTTAAATACACGCTTTAAATAGTTATTACTTTAAGATAAGAAACCCTTGTGATGGATGGTCGCTTTTCGAAGCCTTAGACAGGGTCTTATACTTGTCTACTACACAACCTTCACCTTCGTTACTCGTTAGATATAACGAAGCTGTACGATCATATTAAATTATCGATTGCCATAGATTGTTTTCTTCACTTGTGAGATTTGACAATAAAAAGTCGCGAACTCATTTCTTTTCTTCTTGTACTTTATTGACAATTAGCTGTATTGATTATTTTCACTTTCGAAGTGGTTTTTATGATGTAACACATGAAGTTTTGTGTGCGTCTGCTAGCATTCTGAGAACTCACTGTTTTTGAAATTGCTTTTATTATAAATATAATCACCACATTTGACGTCGTCAAAATATTTTCTTTCCACAGTCGAATTCTTATAAACTTTACATATTATTTCTTACGTTTTAGATTAAATTTTTTATTCATTAAAAATGTTTACCGCAGATGCGGTCCTATGACAAATTAAGTTTAACACGATAAATATTGCGGGCGAGAAGAGTGTTGCATGAGAATTACAGATTACGAGATGTGTATATGTTTTTATAAGCTGAAACGCGCCCGTGTAAATTTCAGGGTTTTTTGAAAGGCGAGACGCAGATCATAGCTGACGAAGCGTTTCATAATGCCATACAGAATTATTGCGATGTGTTCCTGAAATCGGATCGCTTGATGCAAATGGTGCAGAGCGGTTCATGCTCCCAAGCCGACTTCCGCGAGGTGTTTAAGAAGAACGTTGAGAAGCGTATTCGGAGCCTCCCGGAAATCGATGGAGTGAACAAAGACACTGTGCTTGCGTCCTGGATGGCCAAATTTGATTGCATCATAAAAGGTACTGGTGACGAGGACACCAAACGGCCTTCCAGGATGCAACAGCAGTCTCTGAATTCGGAGCTAATACTATCGAAGGAGCAGCTGTATGACATGTTTCAGCAGATTCTTGGCATCAAGAAGTTCGAGCATCAGCTTCTGTTCAACGCCCTCCTGTTGGACTCAGCCGATGAACAGGCTGCCGCCATCAGGAGGGAGCTGGACGGTCGCATACAGAAAGTGAATGAGATGGAAAAGGTACTGTGACGATTGCTTTTTTGATTTCGGCTTTCATTTTACTTTGATGCAATTTTGATTTTGGATACAGACACGTTCCCTCTTTCTCACTGTTACCGAGAGACTGCTTCTACTCGTCCCTGAACGCCGATTGTTCCTTTTCTATCCCTAGAATCGCAAGCTCATGCCCAGGTTCCTCTTGAAAGAAATGGAGTCGCTCTACATCGAGGAGCTCAAGTCGTCTATCAACCTGCTAATGGCTAATTTGGAGTCGTTACCGGTCTCCAAGACAGGTTCGATAGACAGCAAATATGGGCTGCAGAAGCTGAAGCGCTACAACCATCGTGGTGAGCGCTCCCGCTGCCGCGGTCAGGGCTCCCTCGTTAAACTGGAGGGCGACTCCGCCGATTCCGATCCCCAGCTGACGAAAATGGACGTCGGTCTGACCTTCCAGCTGGAAGTAGTCGTAATGGAGGTCAAAGGCCTTAAAAGCCTAGCACCTAATAGAATAGTTTATTGTACCATGGAGGTGGAAGGCGGCGAGAAGCTGCAGACCGATCAGGCCGAGGCCTCCAAGCCTATGTGAGTAAAAATTGATCAAAGATTGGGAACCCCGATCACTGATTGTGAGATATCTCGACGGGGAGGTCAAGACCGACCGCATCATTCTCGTCCACGGGTCCTATTTATAGGTGGGATACTCAGGGTGACTTCACGACCATGCATCCCTTGCCGGTGGTCAAGGTCAGATTATACACCGAAAATCCGGCGATGCTAGCGCTCGAGGACAAGGAGTTGGGCAAGGTGATTTTGCGACCTACTCCGCTCTCCTGCAAGCTACCCGAGTGGCACCGTATGACCGTACCTAAAAATTGCGCCGATCAAGATCTACGTATGAAAATCGCCTGTCGTATGGACAAACCACTCAACATGAAACATTGCGGCTACTTGTACGCGATGGGCAAGTCCGTATGGAAAAAGTGGAAGAAGCGGTACTTTGTGTTGGTCCAGGTCTCGCAGTACACATTTGCGATGTGCTCGTATAAAGAAAAAAAAAGCGAGCCGTCGGAAATGATGCAACTCGATGGCTATACAGTGGACTATATCGAGGCCGTTTCTGCTAATCTCATGGTCGGCATGGATTTAGAAGGCGGAAGGTAAATTTTCCCCTCCCGCTGAGAACGAAAAATACCTAACCGCCGTAGCAGCAGCATGTTCGCAGTAGTCGCGTAGTCGCGTCGTAACATCACAAATTTTTATTAATGCGTTATTATATTTTTTATCGCAATTTTATTAGATCTTAAATATTGTGAGGACATACTTTTGTTTTTTTTTGCAATTTTACAGCACTTTAAATAATAAAGTTTTCAATTGTCTTTGTAATAAAAAATTAGAGCTTAACACTTGGGAATGGAAGCGAATAGAATTCAATTAGTGCAGTTTGTTTATGCGTTCAATTTTTCTGCGTTAATTGTTTAAATTGAACAGGACATTTTGCAGTTAACTGGCAAATATTGTGCACAACTCGCAATTATGAATTGCATGTACTCGATAGGTACTTTTTCAACGCTGTGCGCGAGGGCGACAATATCGTGTACGCTTCGGACGACGAGAACGAATGTCATCTGTGGGTGATGGCGATGTACCGGGCGACCGGACAGTCGCATAAGCCCACCCCACCGGTTTCCGTGGCCGATAAGAATTCCACCATTAGCAAGATCCAAGGTGATGCTGACCGTGCGAAGAAGCACGGTATGGAAGATTACATCAGCGCTGATCCGTGCAAGTTTGAGCATCATGCCCTGTTCAAGTATCTGCAGAACTTGGTCCTAGACTATAGACTGAACGATCCTTACTGCTCGCTCGGCTGGTTCTCGCCCGGTCAAGTTTTTGTGCTGGACGAATACTGTGCCAGGTAATAAAGCTTGTGTTTTGTCAACCGTTAATTCGGTTAATCCGATTGTTTACAGTAAAAAAATAGATCTTACATATCTTATGCATAGTTTGAATTAAGCACGTATATGCCTTTGAATTTGAATTAAATACAGGCATATTTAAAAATAAGATATCAGAACATATGTAACTGAAAAATGTGAGTGAGGCTAATTTATTTCATTAGTTTCATATATGCGATGTCGATTTGAGCGACTGTTTTCTAATAATAGATACGGCGTGCGTGGGTGCTTTCGACATCTTTGCTATCTGCACGATTTGTTGGACAGAATGGATCGTGGATATACGATAGATCCGACGTTGATACACTTTAGCTTTGCTTTTTGCGCCACTCATGTCTACGGTAATACAACATCTGCCGATGGCGTAGGCTCGATCACTCACGAGGAGAAAGATAAGTTTCAAGAAATCAAGGAACGGCTGAGACAGATTCTCGAGAGGCAAATTACTCATTTTAGGCAAGTAGTCCCAATGCTCCTTAAATTAGTGATGTGAGAAAACAATTATCATAAAGAATTGTTCGCACTACATATTTTAAAACTAATTTTTTAATCAATTTTATTTTTCTAAATTATTTTTCTCTTAATTTTTATTGCAATAGTTTTCAAAATAATACATATTTATTTAGAGAAGAAATAAATTCGTGCGTATTAATATAATAGCTACAGCGAAAAAATTTATTAATGGTAGATGTTTTTCTCAAAATAATTTTTTTGCATAAATTCATGTTATGTTATAATAGTTGTGACAATTAAAATATGAAAGACATCGCAAATAATATTTTTTTCTTACAATAGAACTAGTTTTCCATTCGGTCGTCCGGAAGGTTCGTTGAAAGCGACTTTATCTCTTTTGGAACGCGTCCTCATGAAAGATAGCGTGACGCCCGTGCCGCAGGAAGATGTAAAGGCGCTCATAAAAAAGTGCTTGGAACATGCAGCATTGGTAAATTATAAGAAACTGGCCATCGAGGCGAAAATTGAAGATGATTTGAACGATGAGGACGTGCCTCCCAGTAAAAAGCTGGAGGATCTCATTCACCTCGCCGAACTGTGCGTCGATCTGCTCCAGCAAAATGAAGAACATTATTCGGAGGTATTAGTTGGGTTTTTAGAACTGAGTGTCAATTTCCGGGGCTCTCGAGAGAGAGGGTCAGCATGCTTTGAAACACGGATTTGGTAAGGATCCGCAACCTCCTCAGAAGACAAACGCGCACCCATTTTCCATAGACTTTAGTCGTATAAATTAAATCGCATAGAGAGCTTTTATCATCATTGCGAAAATTGCTTCTATTTAACGTAATTAAACTAAATTTCAGATGTGAGATATTCGTTTGCACTGGAAAAATGTTCACTTTTTTGCGGAAGAACAAAAGCAGCATCTCACTTTACGTTGTTACATTTTTTCAATTTGTCACGCTTATTTGTACATTGATACCATTTATACATTATTCCGAGAACTTTTCAAATAATATACGCACATAATAAGTAATTAGTGATTATAAGTAGAATTATTTTAGTCTTTTTTGCTAACAAATATTGTTTATTATTAAAAATTATGCGTATAAAAATAATATTTTTATTTGAAAAGAATTTAATTGTTTATTGATGCATCTATTCTAGCATTTTGCATGTTGTTGCGTTTAATTAAATTTTAATTTCACTTTTACTCTTCATCGATATCTTTCGCAAACGAGAGAAACCTCGTCACCATTTAATTGCAATATCGATTTCATTTGAGTTGACAATCATGTTGAGATCTAAATGTAGCAAACGCTTATCGTGTAAGATGACGAATTTTTACGACCGCTCTCACGCATATCATGAAGTAGAAGTAGTGTCTTCTGGGTACTCGAGGGCTCCGTGCTCAGGGTGGCGTTCCCATCACCCGAGCTAGAAAAAGCGTGCCCACCGTATATGTGCGACGTCCAATATTTTCACGATCTGCTCCTACTACACTGTACCGCAGGCATTCGCCTGGTTTAGCGATCTTATGATCGAGCATTCCGAGATCTTCTGGGGGAACTTTGCCACGGACATGGACAAAATCCTTTCGGTGCAACCACCCGACACCTGGGATAGCTTCCCACTATTTCAGATATTAAATGATTATCTCAGGGGTGACGGTGAGTAATATCGTTATTTTTTGATGAATATTTTAAAATATATATCGCCGGTAGAAATATAAATATAACCGTCTAAATCATATGACTCTGCAATAATCAATTTTGTTTTCAATAATCAATTTTATTTTAGATTAGATTTGTTCCATGTTTTTTTTAATTTAAATTTTTGGATTCTAGAAACGAAATTTAATTCGCAATTAGATACTTTGAAAAATGGGAGATTCCATACACATTTGCGTGACTTGTTCGCACCTTTAGTAGTGCGCTACGTTGACTTGATGGAAACATCAATTAGTCAGTCAATTCATAAAGGTTTTGAAAAAGAGCGTTGGGAGATCAAGGGAAATGGTTGTGCTACTTCGGAAGATCTCTTCTGGAAGTTGGATGCATTGCAATCATTTATCGGCGGGCTGCACTGGCCCGATCTGGATTTTCGACAACATCTCGAGCAGAGACTAAAGCAAATGGCTTGCGACATGGTGGAGTCGTGTATACAGAAAACTGATACAGCCTTTCAGCAATGGCTAAAGAAGGGCGTGACCTTTATCTCCACCGATTATATTATACCGTCGGAAATGTGCGCTATGGTGAACGTTATTTTGGACGTCCAAGAATCAGAGTTTCAAGCTTTGTACTATTGATGGCGTCGATGTGGTAAGTTCATGGTCATTGATCACTCGAGAGAATACTAAAGCGTGGGTGTAGAGATGTAAAAAATATTACAAATCGATATAGAATAATACCACAAAACCGTTTCAGCCTAATTTTTGGATCCTCTTTAATTTGGTAGAGTTGTAATCAGTAATTAAGATTAAACACCATGCTGCTAGCATTATTCTGTATTAATTTGTAATATTTTTTACGAGACCTGCGCTTTGGTTTTTATAGCCTTTTTCTTCTGTTAGTTTTTTTCGATAGATATATTTGTTTGTTATTGCAATTAATATTTTGTTTCCAGCATCAGTTTCATTCCAAGATTGACGATATGATCGAAAATACATCGGCAGGAATGAATCAAGGAATGATTAATAAACTCATAACGGTTTTGGAAGCGACACTCTCGAAGTTATCTCGTTATGACGAAGGTTCTCTCATCGGCTCCATTCTCAGTCTTACGGTATTTCTATTTATTTAATGATCCTATGTTTTGTGAAAAATAACGTTTATCAGTAGCATTAGCGTAAAAAATACAGATTTAGCTTCAAAGTTGTGTAACTCGGCCAAAAAAATTGCAGCAAAAATAAAAAAAATAAAAAAAAAAACGCGCTTTGTAGGTAAAATGTTGTAGTTTTTGACACTTGCCATAAATTTTGTAAGAAAAATTTTTTTATTGACCTACCGAGTGTTGATTATACGTAATTTAAAAAATAAAACAATATGTTCTTTTTTTAGCTTAGAAGTATAAAGATAAAAGTTTTAAAAAATGATTTAAAGCATATGAAAGTACAAACTTCAAGCTTTGATATGCTTTTTAAACTTTTTCTTTGTGATGATCTTTCGTTGAGTTTTAGTGATTTGAAAATTGCTCAATTTTGAAAAGTATTACCTATTTTTTGTAAAGTAATGTAAATTATCTGGCTGAGATGTTTTTTGCTTTTCGTGAGAAAAAAAAAATTTAATAACATAATTATTAGAATATTTATAATATATCGTTGCACTCGCGACGATCACTCGCGAGTTCACTTACGTAAGAAATAAGAACACAAATATTTAAGCAAAGAACTTCAATGAACTAAACGAGAATTCAACTAAGAACAACACAGTACAGAACTTTCGTGAACAATTACAATGACCACTACACGCCCGAAACGCGTCCTCACGGCCAAGCGTAACTTTTTTACTTTTGACACTTTATTTACAAATTACTAAGCGACGCTTCTCAACATTAGTTTAATTACAAATTACTAAGCGACTCTTTCTCAATGCCAGCTCACAGCCCACACGTCGCAGCTTTCGAACGACGATTTCCCGCGGCGCGAGCGTAACAGTATTATATAATATATTATGTTTTAGAAGGTATCAGGAAGCGGAAAGGAAATGGGACAAGCCTATGTAAATTTTACGAGAAATTGCATGGATCAGATTCGCAGTAAAGTTCTCGACGAGTTATGGATCCTGAATTTCTTCGAGGTAAAAAAGTCATTGCAAACAATATGGAATCAGAACGATAATCAGAAAAGACTTCACTGACTTATTTTGGCTTGTGCTTGCAGCAATGGTACACAGCACAGATACAAATGTTATGTAATTGGTTATCCGAGAGACTCGATCACAGTCTGCATTTGTATCAATGTACCTGTCTGGCTCACATTGTGAAGAAACTCTATTACGACTTTGAGCTTCAGGGTGTCATGGAGGAGAAACTTAACACGAAGACATATCAGACTGTACACAATAGAATGAAAACGGAAGAAGCAACTTGTGCCTTAACTATGAACGCTCAGAACGAAGAGTAAGCTATTTTAATTTTTTTATGATATATTGCAGAATTTCTTCCCTACTTTCTCTTTCGTTCTCATCCCTCCTTTTGTTTCTGCTTAATTGCATTTATTGAGTTTTGTTGCTTTATAGAACGTTTTAGATAAATTTAAATATATTAAATATTTATATCTATTTCTATTTTATTACGGAGATTACAAAAAAAATTCATTTAATTTTCGTCTTCTTGCAGAGGGCTTTCGGAGAATGGCAATGACGACGAGGTGGAGAGACCTAAGACAAAAGTGACGATTGTTGAAACGATAACGGAAGACGCAAATTATGTAGCCAATCTGAGCAACGTCACTTCGAATGTTGTTGGCAAAGTTGGAAGCATGTTCGGCAAGGGCATCGGTGGTCTTTCTACAAAATTCGGCTCAGCCAGTAATTGGTTCTAGTTATTGTTACTAGCATTCTGCCAGTAAATCTTACATTCGACTAGTATGTTCCTTCGTTTAAATAAGAGAATGCGAACGGGAAAACTTCTAAAGGCATAGTCAGTATTCTATAGGCAGTACAATGATTTAGAGTTGTCCACATAAACAAATGATATGATTATTCGACACAATTGACCAGTTGGTTTTTATCGTCTCACATTTTGTTTCAGTTTTATCGCGGATTTTTTTTTTTTTTTTTTTTTTTGAGAAATCTAGTCACTCATCACGAAGTGATGCGCAAAATTACAAAATTATTTATTGATTTACGGTGATTTCAAGACTACCTGAGAATATATTTTGTTTACTAATTTCCGACTTTATAACGCATATTAGACGTAACACATACGTTGAGAATTATGTAACTTTGTTTCGTAAAATTTTAATTAACAGCTTATTATTTATGTTTGATCTCAGGTAATATTGGAAACATAGTCGAGATATATTCGGAAAGTCAGATTGTACGGAAATACGTATGATATAAACCAGAGTAAATGCGTAGATATCTAATCATATTACAAACAGAGATATATGTATATAAACGTACATGCATATGCAACGTGTAATTATGAAGTATTCGTACACTTTGTCGTGGTCCGCATATGCCAGACCAACGTCATTGTGTGTGCGCGTGCACGCACGTACGTACGCACGCACGCACGCACGCACGTACGCACCACGTATCCTCCTCCTCCTCCTCCTCCTCCCGTTACACACGTACACAAAATGAGAGAGAGGGAGAGAGAGAGAGAGAAAAAAAGAAAGGGAAAGTGAGTCCGGTGGTAATCGTGGTACATGTTGATAAACGGTGATTTTTTATTAAAAAATGAGTCGAAATGTTGGAATATATTATTTTCATACAAGATTTTATTTTTGAGAACAATAACTTTGAAATATCATTAAGTATATATGTACTTGTATTATTCGATTGGTAAATCGCTATGGATTACTACCTTTT